TGTTACCGTATCAGCAAAGTGTCGAGATATTTAATTCTTAATCTAATAATCATGCATTAAATAAATCAACTAATAATTTAAATTAAATTAAAACGTTAAAATGTTACCGTATCAGCAAAGTGTCGAGATATTTAATTCTTAATCTAATGATCATGCATTAAATAAATCAACTAAATATTACTAATAATTTAAATTAAATTAAAACGTTAAAATGTTACCGTATCAACAAAGTGTAGATATATATGATTTCCATCCGAGCGAAGTAGATTGCCTTCCATTATATATCTGCAAAAGAATTATATTAGTAAAATATTAAATAAAGTAAAATACTTAAATAAATTAAATACATAATAGTAAAAATATTATAAAATATACCTTAAAAGAGAGAGTATTTGAGAGAAATTTAGAGAATTTGAGAGAATTTGGTGTGATAAAAGTGATTGAGGATGGGGGTATTTATAGGGAGGATTGGGAAGTGGAGGGGCGGGTATTTAGGGGTATATCGCGCCCCCTGCACCGCGCTATACCCCACGTGTCAGATACTCAGGTATGGCGCGGATCAGGGGGCGCGCTATACCCACGTGGCACCAAATCACCGTATATCGCAGGACAGGGGGCGCACTATACCCACGGGCGCCAAATCAGCGTATAGCGCGTTCAGGGGGCGCGCTTTACTGCTACGGGTGTTAGATCGGGAAATATAATCTGACCGGTATTAGATCGGTAAATATACCTATCACCGGTGATTTATTGGGAAAAACGTCCTATTTTGGAGATCTATAATGAGGAAATTTATGATCTTTTGTCAAGTAATGGAGGAGGGGGTGGGTTTGGATTCTGATGCCCTAAAAGTCAAAATGGATCTTGTAGACATTCATTTTCGTCCCATTATATATATATATATACATATATATAGTTTGAAAATATTTTTAAAAAAACATATATATAATATATAGTTTTGAAAACATGTTTGAAAACTTTTATATATTATATAGTTTTTAAAACATTTTGAAAATAAATATAATATATAGTTTTTAAAATATTTTTGAAAATATATATTATATAGTTTTTAAAATATTTCAAAAATAAATATAATATATAGTTTTTAAAATATTTTTGAAAATATATATTATATAGTTTTTAAAACAACAACAACAACAACAAAACCCAATTCCCATATGTATGGGGTAAGGGGGAGGTAGGGTAGTAGGCTGCCCCCAACGCCAGGTTGGGAGTAGCTTCCGTGAAAGACCTCCGACAGTCAGAAAATTAAAAATATAGATAAAATGCAATGCATGTATAAATAAATACATAGCTAAACAGTATTCATATGCAGTCATTAAAATCATATGTGCGTTTGTAATGGGAATTAATCCCTGTAAAATAATCCCTGCGAAAGAATCTCTGCATATTGACAGAAACATAAGACCCAGCTAAATTTAAAAGAGGAAACATGAAGAGAATGATAAACAAACGTCAACGATATCAAGCCCAGTTCCAATCCTTCATAAATACCAATAACAGAAACGTATAAAAAGTAGAAGTCATGGAAATTACTACAAAGGCATTAAAAGAAGACAGAGATGATATATATAGTTTTGAAAACATATATATATTATATAATTTTGAAATCATTTTTGAAAAATTATATAATATATAGTTTTAAAAACAATTTTGAAAACTATATAATTTTTGAAAACATAAAAATATATAATATATAATTTTAAAATACTTTTGAAAATATTTATTATATAGGTTTTTGGGAAAAATATATATAATAATATTATTATTATTTATTTTATTTTATTTTATTTTATTTTATCTTTTATTAATTTTATTTTCATTTTTATTGTCAGGTCCATTTTGAGTCCAATATAAGTCCAAAAAATTGGCGGCTGGACCAGTCCAGTAGGGGATTAGGGTTTCAAGTTTCATCCTGACGTCGCATTACAGGGGACTGTTAGATCAAGAGATGATCAACGGCCAGGAAGCTAGGGTTTTATCTAACCCTCATATTATCATCACGCCACAGCCACACGGGAGTCGTTGGATCTGGCTGTCTAATCCAACGGTCAGAATCCATTAAGAACAACCAAGTCAAATACCGATCGAAATCCTCGGCCAAATCACAGGAAAATCGGAACCAAGTCCAACTGTTCACGCACGACCACTAGAACTTAACCATCCCGGAAAATCGACGAGTACCCCACAATATCCGGAGCCACAACGGCCGATTACGGGGTTATAAAAGCCCCAAAGAGAGAACGAACAAGGGGGACAATCGGCCAGCAAATCGAACACAGAAAATCGAACCAGAGAACAACAGTACACGAAGCATCATCAAGAGCAAACCCACATCCACAGTGAGCCACAAAGAACAAAACTGTGTGAAAAACAAAACCCAAATACAACATTTAGCCTCAAACCCACCGCAAACACAAGATCAACGATAGTAAAGCAAGAATCATCATAACACAGTCGAAACCAAAAAAACAAAACCGAATAGAGAACCAAAAACGAAATAGTAAATCGTCGAACAACATAAGCAACAAAGCAACGGCCAAAGCCAGGAGACCCAGATCGTCGGAGTATCGGAAAAACGAAAGGTTTTTCACGAAAAAGTAAAAAGGTCGAAGCTTTTTCTCAGATCTACGTCGAGGGGGCCTGATTTTGGGTGATTGGGGTTCAGAACTAGATCTAGGGTGTAACGAGGAGTCTTGTGGGCGCAGAGGCCGGAGCGACGATGTCAAGGCAGGTTTAGGCCACCGGGCGATAGACGGCCTTCGGTGAAGGGAGAGGGCTAGAGAGAGTTCTCTCGTTTAAGGAGAAGGTTTTTTTAATGAAATGTGAGAATGAAGAGAAATGGGGCATTTTTGGATATTTATATACCAAGGACCAGTTTGTAAATACAAGATTCTTAAATTCACTCCGAAGTCCCTTGTATTTTGAATCATTTTTCATTTCGGTCACAATTTGTAATTTTGCCCCCGAATTTGCAATTTAATTAATTTGATCCTATTTATATTTTTATATCTTTGTGAATTGGTTCCTAACTTTTTACTCTCTTTTTTTTGCAGTCCATTTTAATGCCGATTTAACTCGTTAATTTCATTTTTTTTTCAATTTGGTCCCCTGAGTTTTATTTTATTTTATTTACTATTATTATTATTTTTCTTCATATTATTTTTTTACCTTTAAACTTTACCCTTTTTTACTATTCTATTATTTATTTATTTTTATTTTTTATCTTTTCCCTTTTTTTATCAATCATATTTTTTTCTCTTTGACTTATTCCTTTTATTGATTTTTTCCCACTTATTGATTTTTTTCCTTCTTTCTTTTGGCTTCTTATTATTATTTTATGTTTTTTGATTCATTTAATATTTTTTTTATTGTTTTTCATCTAACACTTTTGATTTTTATTTTAGAATAATTTCAACCAATCAAAGGTAAGCAATTCGAATTGAATATTTTAACTTTTAATTTAAATTCTAATTTTCGCAATTAAAGACAACCGACAAATTAATTGGTGCCAAAAGGGCGGTTCAAGGGTGTTAATCCTTCCTTGACTGTAACCGACTCCCGAACCCGACACATTTCTGGTAAAACGCAGATCAGGTAAGATGGTGTCTGACCCACCTAAATTCGTTTTAAAATGGTTGGTGGCGACTTCTAAGCATTTAATTCAAGTCGAAACTCAATTCCGGACCCCACCGAAAGACGGTTCCGACATATCTAAGGCAACTTTTATGTTTAGAACTGTATTTTTTGTTGAATTGTTGGGGTTATTGGTGTTTGATTCACTTTTTGTAGGGTATATTTTAGGGTTTGATACCATTCATCGCTCAAGCTTCTCAGGTCTATCACCCCCTCAACTTCTCTTTCTTCAACAATTGTTCAGTTAGGGTTTTTTCTCTGATTGAGGCGTGGCTCATATTATGACTTTCTAGAATTCAATCAAGATGAAACCAACACCGATAATACCGTAGGAGATTTGGGTTTATGGGTATACAATGGATAGTCTGCGGTTTAGGAGTGATCGATTGGTGTTTGGAATTGGGATTAGAATTTAATAAAATATTAATAAAAGAAAGAAGTTATTAATAGATGTCATGTTATAAAAAATATTAATAAAATAAATTTAAGTTATTAAAATAAAAGTAATTCTATAATTTAATAATTACAAAAATTTAGTGACTAAAATAAGAGTGAGAAGATAGTTGAGGGATGAATGGTGTAATTTACCCAAAAAATAAAAATATATGTTTTTAAAGTGTCATGTGTCGTAGTCGTAAGGTTTCACGTCACTTTCCGTGGTGACAGTGGGTGAATCCGTTAACGGCGGAAAATATCATATATAAAATTAAGAAATTTTAAACATTTTGTATGAAATTGAAAATTTGATATAGTTCATGTATGAACAGAGTATTTAACCCTTTTTTATTTTACCCATTGAACTATAACCTAAATATATCATTTTATCAAACATAATAAAATATGGTATTTAACCCATAGGTTGGACTATAAAAACCTTCTCTCAGTTACTTAAATTTGATCCATCACAATCATATTTTATAATTTTTCTAAAATTTTCACCCATAAAATAATGATATGTTAATTTATTAAAGATATTATATGTAGATAAATTATATCAACGGTTGTTAATCATTTAACGATTCAATAATGAAAATGAAAATTTTTATTAATAATAATGATTTTATTAAAATTTATCTATTTCGATAACTAAAATTAAAAGTGTATTAAGAAATTAAGGTAAATTACACAAAATGATTATTAATATTTAAGTAAGTTTTTCATTTTTCTACTAAAATTTTAAAAGTAACAAATTAATTTTATCGATTTATAATAAATAAATTATTAATATTATTGATTTATTACAAATAAGGAACCCCTAACATTACCATATGGTTGACCGTCTGACTCCTCTCGTTAAAATCCCCTCAATCCATAAAAAGTAAAAACTCTAGTTCACCCTTATCTTTTGCAACTCATCTCGACTTCGTCTTCCACGTGACAACAAAAGCAGAATAAACATTTATCAGTTCTTCACCAATTCTCGACTTAAACCAGAGAGAAGGGCTTTTCAGTGGGAAGGAGGCTACTTCTCGTGCCATGACACTAATTTTCGATTTAAACCAGGTTTTGGTAATCTATTTCTAACTATGACAAGTTATTTTCGTTAAAATCTCACACAGCCATTCACCGAATTTGACATCGGAATCATGGTGCTGGAAATCATAAAAAAGTAGTATGTGGATCTTCCTTCAGCCTCTTACTGGAGGTAATTGGATAACAACTACTGCTTTCTTAGTTTTCACTGGCTTTGTGGTTTGGCTGATTGAACGTCCCATCAACGACGAGTTCACAAATAGGAATGATCTTTTTGTACTCTTTCTCAACTCTAGTAATTGCTTACAGTAAGTTTTCTATCTATGTTTAACTTGAATTTATCTATTTAGTGCATTATGCATATATTGAGGTATGCGTACATTTTCACAATAATTCAAACCCAAACCCACGGCCTTCACTGCAACTTTGGCTTCCATGTTAACAGTTTAGCGGATTCAATCGAGCTCGAGAGATAACTATGTCGGTTATCAGTTTCTGGTTCCAAGAGCTATTATTAGTAGCGTAAAAATTGAAAATTTGAGGCAAGTAGAATGCCGATATCCAGAAGAATATGACGATGCACTAAGAAGGCGAAGTAAGAATGGTGGTGTGTTGGCCATTATTGATGATATATCAAACCTTAAATTATTCCTTGCCAAGTACCCTGCAGATTACACCATGATTAAATCCAAGGCTACTTCAGGCGGTTTTGCCTTTGTAAGATTCCTTTACAAACAGTCATGATTTTGATCCTTTGATTTGATACAGTAGGTGCTGAATTGTTTATATGTTAATGATCGTAGGTATTCCCAAAAGGTTCCCCACTCGTCAAGACATATCAGGTGCAATTATGAGACTAAGAGAGGAATAAAAGCTGCAAATGATGGAAAATAAATGGCTTAACGGTGTATTTCTCGAAAAATCACCGGTGATCGGTATATTTATCGATCTAACACCGGTCAGATTATATTTTTTGATCTAATACCCGTAGCAATAAAGCGCGCCCCTTGTCTCGCGCTATATGTTGATTTGGCGCCACGTGGGGTATAGCGCGCCCCCTGCACCGCGCTATACGCTGACATGGATTACACGTGGGTATAGCGTGGCCCCTGATCCGTGCTATACGCCACGTAAGGGTATAGCGCGGATTAGGGGCCGCGCTATACCTAGTTATTTGACACGTGGGGTATAGCGCGGTACATTGGGCGTTATACCCATAATTACCCCCATACCCCCGACGCTTCACACCCCCAATCCTTCCTATAAATACCCCCATCCTCAATCACTTTAATCACACCAAATTCTCTCAAATACTCTCTCTGTTTAAGGTATATTTTATAATATTTTTAATATTATGTATTTAATTTATTTAATTATTTTACTTTATTTAATATTTTACTAATATAATTCTTTTTGCATATATATAATGGTAGGCAGTCTACTTCGCTTGGATGGAAATCATATATCTACACACTTTGCTGATACGATAACATTTTAACGTTTTAATTTAATTTAAATTATTAGTAATAATTAGTTGATTTATTTAATACATGATTATTAGATTAAGAATTAATTTTTGTAATTATTTATTTTTAGGAGAATGATTGTGTATTAGATCCTTTTATTATGAATCTTAAGTTAATGATACATAGCCGTGTCTTGCCGTATTTAGTAGATGCTGGATTTGGTTACATAGGTAGATATCAGGGTCACTGTAAGATAGAACTAGACCTTATTTCTGCCTTAGTAGAGCGGTGGAGGCCGGAGACCCACACATTCCATCTTCCGTGCGGAGAGTGCACGATCACGCTTGAGGATGTTTCTATGCACCTGGGGCTTCCGGTGGATGGAGATGTGATATCATAGTGGACTACTTTGTGTCGGGATAATCGGACGTGTCCCGGAAAGTTTTATCGGATGTAGGATACCGTTAAATTAGTTAGATGTCAATTTTCGGGAGTTGAGCGCAGACGCCTCTGAGGATGAGGTTAAGATGTATGCACAGGCATGCATATTGCAGTTGATAGGAGGGTTGCTGATGCCAGACAAATCGTGTAACCTAGTTCACTGCATGTGGTTGTGACATCTTAGCGACTTTCGTCTCGCCGGATCATTCAGTTGGGGCTCGGCAGTTTTGGCTTTGTTGTACAGGGAGATGTGTGGAGCCACTGACCACAGGCGTAATGCTATCGGCGGATGTCTCTTACTGCTGCAGTCTTGGGCATGGTATCGATTACTCTTTTTATGTCCTGTTTTGAAGAACCCATTCGTATTTCCACTACTTCTGAGGTAATTATAAAACTGATTTTGTATATTAATAATTTTATATAGCGTATAATAAATTTTTTTCTTTGAATAGGTGGTCTACTGATAGGAAAAATCATCAGGAGCTACCTGATGATTTATAAAAAATTAGGGTGCTAATCGATCAGAAGGCTGACACACAGGTATAAATTTTAATGTTTAAAAATCGATTTTAGATTATAGTTATATAATTAGATTATTATTTTGATAAAAATTATGTATTATTTGTTTTAGTTTGAATGGGTGTCATATTCTACTGATGATGTGAGGGTAGTGATCTCACCTGAGTTGAGGGGTCCATCAGATGTTTGGATGGCGATGGTCCCTCTGATCTGTTATGCGACCGTCGAGTGGCACTCCACTGATCGCGTGCTTCGGCAGTTTGGTTGTTTTCAACCAATTCCGTAAGCACCTCGCAATATGGACGAGTTGCATAGCTTAGATAGACGTGGCAAGACAGATACAGATTGGCTGGTGAGGCATCATGAGTGGGTCGTGTTGTGGGATAATCGACATCGGCGCCTTCCCCGTAGAGAGCCCATTTTTTATGACCTCTTAATTTATGCTGACGGTTATTATGAGTGGTTCAATAGTAACGGGAAACCGTTTCTGCTTCCCGAGGATGCACGAGGGTAGACCTTTCTGCGACGTCGATAGAGACGTTCACCGATACAGCACCATCATCCCCCGACTCGTGGACGGAGAGCATGTGCTTCCGGTTCATCCTCAGCTGCACCAGCAGGACCTTAACAGCATCCACCGCAACCATTTATGATGTCGCAGCCATATATGATGCCGCAATCGCCTTTCCATTACCAGATGTCGCCGCCTTCACCTGGTTTTATGACCCCGCCGCCGCCACCGTCACAGAAGACCCCTACTGGAGGCTATTATGGGTCTATGTTTGTAGATCCGAATTGGGGTTCATATGCTAAATATTTGGTGGGTTCAGCCTCATCACCCATGGCCGCAGCACAGACACCTCCTTTACAGTTTTCACACTCAGCGATGTCCCAGTTTTCCCAATTTTCCTAGTTTTCGCAGGCCGGTGGGATAGTCAGTCATACACCTCCAGGGTCCTTATTCTATGGAGGTGTTTCATCGTCATCAGCTCCTCATCAACCTAATGTACCTGCTCAGGACGACGACGACGACGACGACGACGACGATGATGACAGCAAGGAGTCAGAACCATTGATACGAAGAAATCCTCCTCGAGACCGACAGCCACCGCCCTGCGGAACACATTCGAGACGCAGACATCGATAGATTTTTTTATATTTGTATTTACTTTATTTTGTTTAATTGTAATTTTTTATTATTTCTCATTTAATACTTACTTTATTTTGTTAAATTTGTTGGACTTTTTTTAATATATTTCAGTTAATTTTGTTTATTACCATTTAATATCAGTTATTGTAATTTGGTTATCATTTACCATTTAATTCTTATTGTAAGTTTGTTGTATTTAAATACCAAATTGTTATTAATTTGATAAAATTTAATGATTGTGTTCGTTTTTTTAATCTTCATCAACGATTATCGAATGACATTAACTTGAAGTAAATGCAAATTAAAATACAAGAATTATTATTTGATAAACAAATACATCATTTCCTCATCAATTGTTACTTGATGACAACAAAAGTGGACATGTTTTTCTAGTGTGTCATGGGTTTTTACAATGGCCACATCTTCTGTCTTGTCTAGATCTTTCTCGACTATCCATATCGCAATGAATTCGATTGGATTTTGGACGACCACGCTCCCTCAATAAACTCGGATTTAGTACAATCGGAAGCCAATCTTGAACCTCATCAGGGTCTTTGTCATTACCTATGGGGGAAACTCAAATTCGTATACCTTAAAAACATCAGATAGTAGGTATACGAGATCCACAAAATGGTTATAGTCTTGACGTGTATGCGAGGAAGCTGCTATCACATGAGAGCATGGATACTTCAGAGCTTGAAAAAACCCGCAGTCGTACGTTCTGTCCCTTAGATTTACTCTTAACGACACAGCTTCAATCCCTTGAAGAGTTCACGACAACTCTGTGATACGAAACATTTCATGCCTTCTAGAGAAGCTTGTTACAGACATTCCATTTGATGCAACAATTTTTTTCTGTAGATCTGCAACTAATCTAGGGTGATAGACATGCCCGCCTTGCATCCAGGTTTGAGCTTGTCCCCCGAGCTTCGCAAAAAGCGCCCTTAAACGAAAATATGTAGTTTTTACCAAAGCCGCTACAGGTAAGTGACGTGCACCCTTTAAGGTTGAATTGATTGCCTCAGCCAAGTTGGTCGTCATGTGTCTATATCGATATCTACCATCATATGCGTTCGTCCATATTTCTTTATCGATGAGGCTGATGTAGTTGAATACTTCCTCGTTCTTCACCCGTAAATCTTGAAGCATTGATTCAAACGTTCGAGGAAGTAGTTCGTAACCTAATCAAAAAATATATAACTTACTAACTTGCTTTCTTTGCAAAATTAAAATGATCAAAAAATGTATAACTTACTAATTTGCTTTCACTTACCCACTTGCTTTCACTTACCCATGCGCACAAATACCCTTGTTATTTCCAAATTTTACCATTAAATCCAACATCTACTTTCTTCAATTAAATCCATGAACTTTTAACTTATTTCAAAATCGACCACATAGTTTTTAAAATTTGCAATTTAGTCACTGACCCTGATTTAGGATGATACAAATCTCCCCTCCTTTAAAGAAAATTCGTCCTCGAAATTTCACTGCACATATTGATAAGAACATGTCTACTAATGTTCTCATGTTGTTTCCTTTACTTAATCTTTCTTTCCCTTAGTTCTTCAACTACCCCTTTTTTATATACCCTTATCATGTCACTTATCATATAACCAACATCATCAGTTCTTATCAATCAAAATCATTAATCAATCAAATTCCTTATCAATCTTTAATTACCTTGCAGTAATAACAAACTTTTATTCCATCAACGCTTAATTACTTTTTAAATTTCCTTAATACATATAAATTATTCTTTATTCCTCTGACTAAATCTCCTTGACCAAGAAACATAACCTTTATCACATCTGATTCTTTAAACTTTTTCCTTTCATTTCCTTATTCCATTATTCATTTATTCATTCAAAAATCAAAATCTCCTTATACACAAATCATATATTTTCTTTCATGCTCACATACTCTTTTCCTCTCACTTATGCTCATCTCTGATTACTAATCTTTATCATCGCTTCATAACTTTGATAATTAACACTCCTTGCACATACCTTATTCTGCGTAAAGTCCTTATTCAAATCATAATACACATATACTTGACTTCCTTCAAACATATTAATCCATTACTCTTTCCGGTTGAAACTAACTCAGCATTAATTTATTTGACTCATTCAACTCACATTCTTACTCATTCACAATGCAATTTTCCTGGGTTCAAACTCAGGCATTACAATTTCCTTTATCTTATAAATCAATCATCAATGCACCTATATCACTTGATCATTTTTTAAATAATTCTACTTTACCTATTTTCTAGCAGAACTTTTAATCCAATCCATTACTTTCCCTTCTAACTTAACTTCATATTCATTCTTAACTCCTTATTTAATCTTCCAGTACCAGACTCTACTATTCAAGCGTATCTGTCTTTCATCAAGTTTTGATCCTTTGCTATGGAATACAACTAATTCAAATCGAGTCTGTAATTGACAATCATAATCTATATCTCTCTTCGATAATGTCAATTTTTATGAGATACGAATTCTCTTAATTCTTCTGAGATCTCTCTAGATCTTTAATATAATTCATCACTTCTTGAAAAGAACAATTTTAACATCAATAATATTCTTTTCGTCTAGGCACAAACCCTCCATAGCTCACTTACATACATCATTTTTCCTTCAAATAACTTAACAACAATTTCTTCGACTTATCAAACTACATTCATATCCCTACACGTTACGATTCCTCTGTT